AATTTTAATCTCAATTTCACTTTGTTGGCGGATTGATTACTGCCTTATACTTGATATATATGGTCGATTTTGATCTTGCTCAAATAAAATTGTGCAAATATGTCTTAAGTCTAAATTCTAGAATTACATTTGTAAATTAAATTGGTTTACACGATATATCTTCCGATTAGATTGTCGGGATGAAAGCCTCTAATTGTGTTATAAAAATGAATAATTGATATGATTGATCGAATCCAATTGAGGAAATTCTGACGCTTCACTGCTTCGAGTTATTGATTTTAATTTCACATTTCAATATTGCATTTTATTACACATTTGAGGGAACAATTCAGACTTTTTGATTCTTTAAATATTCTTCCATCTCCCTATGGATACGACACCTCAAAACTACACTACAACTATCACGTCATTCTTTGGCGTAATCAAATTTTGGCGCCATTGTCGGGGAGACAGTACAATTACGAAAGGATCGACTACAAAATGGAGACATCGTTCCTTTTATTTTGTTTTTAGTTAGTTTAATTTTCTTTATTGTATTCTTCTTATTTTCACTTTATTTTCTTTTACTTTTTCTATGAGTAGGTATCGAGGATAACGAGGACGATCTGCGGGTAAACCCGACACAGAGTTTAACATCTTTTTAACCCTATTTTTGATTCTATATCTGTTAAAACCTATACTTTATCACATAACACAATGTCTGACAATGAGTATGATATATCATATAGAACTTTGCATGATTATCTGCACCCCACGCGTACATCTATACCTTCATGTATTACGTTTTCACCCAATATGTCACGTGTCGATTTTAAACCTGGAATGATCAACTTCTTCCAAATTTCCATGGACTTGAAAATTTGAACCCGTATGTACATGTTAGGGAATTCGAAGAGGTTGTAGCAACCTTCCACAATCAACATGGTACATTGGATGCAATTATGCTCAAATTCTTCCCATTTTCTCTTAAAGAAAGGGCTAAGAGCTGGTTGTATTCATTGAGACCACGTTCGATTGGAACTTGGACTGAAATGACCCAAGCATTCTTTGGCAAATACTTTCCCCACCACAAAACTACTGCTTTGAAAAAGCAGATCTCTTCTTTTACTCAAAAGGAGAGTGAAACTTTATATCAAGCGTGGGAAAGGTATAAAGAATTTCAAGCTCTTTGTCCACACTATGGTTATGAGAGTTGGCGCATTGTGA